TGTAAGCATTCAGAACGTCATAATTAGTGGTAGTAATTTTCAATTAGTGGATAAAGTTAACAAACTTTAGACATTTTCACTAATTATACTTCTAAAATTTGCGGGGAATGTCATTTTGGCTTTTGATTATCATCCGTCAAGAAAAATTTTGATTAGAAACACAAAACATCCCCCTTTAGAACTTTTTCTTTAATGGCCATAAGCGGGAGTAAAAGACCAACCGCCCGAACAAACACTAGAGGCGCCACCGGTCATCAAATGGCGTAAAAATTGCGAAAATTTAATCATCTAATTTTGACACAAAGGGTCGCGCTTAAAGTTTTCAATTTTAATTCAATATTCATTGTTTTCAAACTATATTATTAGACTTTGTTGTATTTTGTGAATGTATAAATGTATTCTTAGTATAAAGTTGCATTATAGTAATTTAAATTATATCACATACATATTTAAGATTCAAATATTATGACATATGTCAGTTGCCGTCTAAAATGTCATCTTCATAACAAAAAGTTAGGTATTGTCAAAAGTAGTTAAAATCCTTAAAATCATGTTAAAACAGTGGCGGCCCGTCAGGTGAGGCAACTGAGGCGCCGCCTCACCTCGAAATTCTATCTTTTAGTAGTACACAAATTTATTTCCAGCTAATCGTATATTTATATTATAGCAATATTAATATTGAATAATTTTATTAAAATATACCAAGCTTTTTACTTTTCGACAGGTCTAAACCAACCGATCGCGCCATATCGTTTCTGTTTTAACTGGACTACAATGCATCTTTTCGTTCTGCGTTCCTGAGGCGTAATTTTTGCCGCCTCTGCCGACCTTTTTTTTATCAATGAACTAAAAGGTCACACATTGAAATCAGCGGGTCGGGGAAGCGGAGGGAAAGCGTGAAATTAGCTGCTGCAGAGGCGACAGCCAAATCGCTTAAGTGCAACGCTGTTGCCAGATTCATGAAAAAAAAAAACATTCTTTACAAACTTGATTGTTAAGTTCAAAAGCAGTTCGTGCTTGATATGGCTGGATAATGCGATATTATAATGCTCTTTGTAATTAAAATTAATCTATTAATTGATCTTCACGAAATACCCCATCAATAATTATGGAAATAATATCGTATATCGAAGAGAGTATAGAATAAATTTGAATAATATGAACACTTGGCATCCACGCAATACTGGTCAAAATAATTAACTTTAGATATTTCGGTGAATTACTAAACGTCACGTCTGTTCGGTCGGTTTGTTTTATGCTCTTGTGAGTAGCAAGTAGTGTGATCTAGCCGTAATTCAGAGTTTAGTGATTTATTTTGTAATAATCAGACTTTAAAATGAATCATGTACATGACATTGTGATGTCCCTTCTAGAAACCCCGTTTTCCAGAAGACAGGAGGATGAAAAGCGAGAGGTCACACAGGAAAACAGACCTACTCCCCAGATAAGTGTTATAACAAATGATAAAAAGACAAATTAACAATCCCGATTACAAGTGTTCAAGTCGAGCGGGATTTTTCTTGTCTAAAACGGATAAAATCTTACTTAAGAAATACAATGTTACAAGATAGACTTTCTGCTTTGTCTTTATTTTCAATTGAAAAGGAGCTGTTGGTTACCCTTAGTGAGAACTAAGGGTAATATAATAATAAATAAATTTGCTATTCTTAAAGACAGACGAATAAACTTAACCTAAAAGGAATAATTCTGATACAATTACATTTTTTAACTATTTTTTACTTGTTTGTTTCTTATTTATGTCGTCGCGTCGCGCGTCGTAGAGCTTGATGTGACAAATTCCGTCTTACTAACCGAACGAAAACCTCAAATTAGAGCTGTTATATGACGATCATTAGATTAGTTAGCTAATACCTAATATATGTTTAAGTTATATTATTTATACTCTGAAGAAAAAAAATAAAGAAACAGTTTCGATGATGACTTTTTTAATAAGTTATGCTTACAAACTTATTATATCTGAGGAGCAAAAAAATCTCTAGCTTATTGTTGCTTAGCTGCTTAAAAAAACAAAAAGAAAATAAACACATAAAAACAAAAAACGTTCTAATGACATTTTTAGTAGGTTAAACCTTCAAACATATTATATCTGAGGAACAAAAAAAATTAAACTTGTTGCAGGTTAGAACCCCCCCCGTCTTTTTGTTTTCGTCCGCGTTTGCGTTGCCTCATCAGTTCTAATCATAGATTTAGGAAGAACAGATATCACATTATGCATTTTAACCCGATCAAACATTCGGAGGTTGACTACGTACTGTAAAAACCAACTGAGATAGAGAAGGCGACATTGCCACATATCAAATTTGCACCTATCTATTTAGTTTGATTTGCAGAAAAGGTTACTTTAAAACCTTCGCCGGATATCAATAAATCTCAATTTTTTAATTAAATTAATAGTTTATTTTTAAAGAAGCATGCGTAATAATATGTTATTAACCAGAGGATATATGCGTTACTATTAAACGACATGTTTACTGTTTAATGTGCTGAAACGGCTAGAACTATTGGCAACGTCGCTGCTAGTCTTCCAGAATGAAATGAGCCGTCCGTCCCACCACCCCTCGCGACGGCCCATGGTCCGTTATAGCGTACTACGTTTACCTTACGGTGTGTTTGAAGTCGGAATCAAGTCCGAAGTGAACTTTTCAGTGTTTTTCAGTAGTTTTTGTTTTTGTTTAATGTACTTTTGAATCTGCGAATTTTCAATATGGTACGACAGTGTCAAATGTGTGGACAAATAAGCTCAAATTACCCGAATTTGTCTTTTCACAGGTAGGTATTGTTTCCGCCGTAATCGTACATAGGCGTCCCACAAGGGAGCCTCTCACAATTAAAATAATTTCTAATTATATTTGTTGAATTTTGATCTATTAAAACAAGAACGTAGTAGCCGGTAATTGAATTATAATTCGTCTCAATTACTACCTAACTATTGTAGATCATAACAAATTTGAATATAAACGTTACATTTGAAACTTTATTATAAGCCAGAAAGTGACACTTTTTTCTTAAAATTGCGTCCTATTTTGGTCATTATATACGATATTCTAAAGGAATTTTGCTCAATAAATAAACAAAGGTGTTTTAAAATATTAATAAATAAACAAAAGTCTTTTTTACATTTTATTGCTTTATTATATCTGCCCCTTCGGCCTTGTTTAGACAGTTTTTTACCACCGTACAAATACATCTTCCTAGAGTTATTTGTACGGTGTGTTTAACTTTTTTTAGAATGGGACGAAGTGTAAATAATTCTTAGGCTACTAGTTTTATACATACCTATATAGAGAGTGACCCAGGCCTCCAAAAAAGCTTTTTACCTATTACGTTTTTGGTTTGTGATTTTTATTTCAATTTTTTAAATAAGATAGGGGCCATTGTAACGCACATTTTCAAAATATTTTTGTCAACATACAGGGTAATTCAAACCGCAATACATATGCTTAATACAGTTCATGAAGATTAGGACATTTAACTAAAATTTGATTATCTGATGAAGCTACTTTTAAAAGTAATGGATTTGTAAATAAACGTAATAGGTATTCATTATTATGCGACAGAAATCCCATACTATAGCACACAGATTTTATATTTTTAATGATAAATGCCTTCTATTGCGAGACTAAAAGGCAATTGCCTCTTATCAGAGCCATCATAATGAACAAGAAGAAGACCGAAAGTCAAATGTTGTCTTACCGAAAGTCAAATGTTGTCTTATATTTTCAAAAAAACACTATTTTGTCATTTAATATTGATTTTAGGTATAGGAAGTTATTAATAATACAAGATTAAACAACTATTACACAGTACTTCACAGGAAGCTATCGATTGCGAACTAACTAAATCGTTACTAATTAGGTACTAATTTTGAAAAGTTCTTTTTAAGATAAAAAAAGGTAAAACTAAAACCGAAACTATCATTTGAGATTAAACGGGAAGTTCTAAATAATGTTGCCTATTCTAAACAAGAAAAACTTATTGATAAGTTAAGTTTTATAACATTCCTAATTAAATTTGGGCGAAAAGAATATTTCTGTTTGCTGTAGGTAATTTTCTCAGGGAAAATACGTAAATAAAAATGACTTTTTAAGTAAAAAAAAGTCAAAATGACAAGTTATTCCAAAAAAGGACTGTCCTTTTCAAAAAAGGACAAGTGGCAATCCTAGGTATTTCTGGAATGGAAATTTAATGGCAAATCTACAACTTTGGTTTGAAAATATGTTCCGGCCATCTATGTTTACAAAAATGTCTAAAATATGCCTAAATGCCTCCATATTCTGAAAAAAAATTGAAAGAAAAGTCACCAACCACAAACCTAATATAGAACTGTTTCGGAAGCCTGAGCCACCCTGTAAATATTCAAAAGTAACTGAAAGTTTATATAGAAGTAACTGAAAGTTTAAATTGAAAATCGACGTTGGGGTGATTTTCGAAAACTACTAACGTTTCAACATAAGTATATGTGGGATATTAATTGTATTATTATATTAGACCTTATAACAAAACTCATCTGACGAAAAAGTGTTAATGTAGTATATTAATATGGAGTAAAAATTTTACTAATTACTTTACTTTTACTTTACTAATTAAATTCGTTCCAAAAAACGATACGCCACTGGCCATTAGAACAATCCAAATGCGCCTAGTTGCCGAGGTCGGAAATTTTAGACTTCTCTGTCTCTTCTGTCCTTGTTTGACACATTGGAATGTTTGATACACTACCAACGAGTATTTATGAATGAGATGTTCGGTCTATTTTTATAATGTCTTTGGTTCTAATGGTCACGAGCCGCTACTGTGTTAAAATATTAAAATTTACAAGTTATAATTAGATATTTTATATTATTTCAACAACAAACACATAATAGTACAGCGTAATGTTGATATGCAGGTCCAAAACTAAAAGTGCCGTTATATTTTTCAGTTTTCGTTGTCAGCTGTGGAAGTTTCAGTGATTTTAGTGTTATAGGATATTTTTATTTGTGAAATAGAAATATTGCGTTTGGATTGCAAAACTAAATGTGGAAGTTTTATTGCAATGTAAGTAAGCGTTTGTCCATTTTATATTTTATTTTTTTCATACCTACGACAAATATATCTACATATATTGAAATTTTATAATTGGTTTTATTTAAAAAATGTTAGAAAACAAGCTTGTAATCCTGTAATTGACATAATTGTTATGTAATATATTCCATTTAAATGTAATATATTACTTTACAATTAAAAAAATGTACATTTATAAATATATTAAAAATATATACAGGCATTAATTGATTTTTTGAGTGCGAACAAACACGAGAGGCGCTTTATTATTTACTTTCATTTCTTAACATGACAGATGAAGTTCTAAAGGGGGATGTTTTGTGGTTAGAAATCAAAAGTTTATTGTTTTATAAGCTGAATATTATGCTTTCTCTATGGATACAACAGACTACCGCAACCTGTTGCTAGGATATTTTATTAATTTTAGTTGTGTTTTTTGGATATTGTGAATGATCGTAAACTAAAAAGTATAATGTGTAATTGAAACCACTAATTTATTTCACTAATTGGGAGGTTCTGAATGAAGCTTTAGAGTTTCCAATTTTCGGGATCGGGATCCCCTTTTGAAATCACGGGATAAGAATCTATAATCCTTGGATCCCGGAATTGGCTATCAGAATGAGAAATTTAATCTAAAGAAATACTTCTAACAACGTTGTGCCGTACAATGTTTACCAACGTTGTTAAAGTCAGTTCCGGTAAAACTGGAAGGTAGGATCAAGAACAATTGTATACGTCAATCAATCATAATTTATGTCATATATTAACATACCAAATCTCGTTTTTTATTTGAAAAATTAAAATAATTATAATAGGGGTGAGCTACTTTTGAGACGCACACGGTATAAAATGACGTCATGGTCAAAGCTCTATGCTTTGAACTATATTTTCCTGTGTTATTAATTAATAAGTTGAGTTTTTTGAAATTTTAGAAATCTTTTGGAGATTTAGTAGCTCTGATTATAGTAGAAAGATTAAAGAAGAATCGGCAACACTGTTAATAATACTCCACTTGAAGCATATAAATTTAATATATTAGTTATTAATTTTTAATATACTTATTTTATTCTTTAATCAAATATAGTACCAAATAATCGAAAAAAACGGCGTCGAAGAAGGCTGGGTAATGACAATCGATGTTAATTTTTGAGAGGTCAAGACCTAGACGTCATTACTTGGCCTGTATTCTTATTTGTTTTTTTAATAGCGTCTACTGCTCGTTTTTCTTAAGAAACTGATAATTTATTTTTATGTTAAGTAAAAATACGAGGGGTAAACCGCAGAGGAATTATGGTGTACACTATGAAGGAATTCTACAGGAATTCCAAGGAATTACGAGGAATTCCAAAGAATTCCATAGGAATTACTAGGAATTCCAATTATTTCCGTAAGAATTCCAATGAATTCCAAGGAATTCCTTAGAAATTTAGAGGAATTCCACAGGAATTAAGAGGAATTACAAGCAACTTTATAAAAAATTAACGAACATTAGTAAACCATGAATACTATAATAGGTAGTACTAAATTTAAAGAAAAACGTTTTGCAGGCGATTTTTTACTATCCGTTTTCGCTTCCAAAATTTCCCAATATCAAATATCTACAGGTTAGATATTCTTTTAATTTAATATTGTGCCCTCGAATATATATCTAAAATATTTTCCAATAGTACGGCCGAACCACCCCCGAGAGATCTACTTATAACGTTCCCTGATTTCGCCATTTTAGAGAAACCCTCATAAGATTTTTTTATTCAGTACTCAGAAAGTGTAAAGTTGATTTTTTCATTTCCTCGGAATAATACCTAGGTATATACTATAGGGAAATTAATACAACTTTAGGTGCACTTCATCAATGATACCATGCATCATCTTATGGAATTTACTGGTGATCGTATTATGACGTGCAACTGAAGTTTTATTAATTTCCTTTCCTATAGATACGAGTATAACTAGGTACCTATCATTTTCAAAAAATTCCGAGAAAAATTAATTTTAATAAGTAAGTGCCGACATATTTCCAGTATTTTTACCTCATGATCCCCTATTAATCCTAAAATTTAACTAAAAAACGTAAATCTCGTAATAGTACTTTTTATTGTTAGATCTAGTACTTATAGAGACATTAGACATTTATAAAAATCACCAGAAAATTCATAGCGGAACTGCGAAACAGCGGTGGCAACGCTGGTTCAGACTGAAAGAGTTACCGAGTTCGTACCAAGGAATTCCAAGGAAGATCTTGAATGATTGACCTTGACCTTGAAGACCAGGAATTCCAAGGAATTCCGAAGGAATTACGAGGAATTCTGAGGAATTATTTGAGTAAAAGGAATTACGGTGTACACTTTTCCCTCTGCGGTTTACCCCTCGTAAAAATATTTTCTTTTTTTAGAAATTGATATGTGTAACTGGAAACGTTCTATCTTTTTTTTTATCTTTTTATAATTAGTGTTGACAAAATTTATGTAATTTTTAGTTTACTTTATATCAATTTTTAGTAAAAGACGTCGAGAGATTGACCTCACCAAAATTATCATTCTACAGTCTTTTCCACAATCCTTGACGCGGTTTTTCTTTCGATCGATGAGGTCATTTGCTAAAAATTAACATAAAAATTAACACTAATTATAAAAATATTTAAAAAAGACAGAACGTTTCAAGACACATAAATCTATTTCCAATCAATTTTATTTTTTCTCAAATTTTAAACTACACCATTTAAAAATCATTTTACTCAATATAAAAATAAATTACAACTTGCCATATAAATTACAACTTGCAAAAATAAATTACAACTTGCTTAAAGTCAACTGACAGTAAATGCTGTAAAAAAATAAAGAAGAATACGTCTTTGACGCCGGTCTTTTCCGATCATATCGGTATTCGGGTACTATTTTCTCATAGATTATTTTTATTTTAGTTCTTCCTATTATTCTTTCTTGCTTTTATTGCAATCGGTTCCTGTGGAACAGAAGTTGTTCATGATGCTGTAGAACTCATTGACGGCTCTCATTTGCAAAAGGAAGATACTTATCTGCCCAGAAAGACAGTAAAAAGGGGCGTCTATGGATATGGAGGATACGGATATGGATACGGACACAGTTATCCGCATTATTCCTACTCCTTTGCTCCATTATATAAAGATTACGGTAGATTACTATTAAATTATATCATATTAATCAAAAATTATCTTAAAAATGTATGTATTTAATGGATTTTTTTTTTATTTTAGATTATTACGGAGGATACGGACATGGATTAGATTACTATCCGTATTATTCAAGTGGATATCATGGGTATGGAGGTATTGGAGGCCATGGATACTATTGGTAAATGATATGTGTATGTGTATATGTACTTACGTACTTTGTTCTATGTATATACGGCAAAATAAAAATGAAGAATATTTAATATTTTTGTTATTATTAACTATCTTACCAGTCCTTAAAGACACTTGAAAGTTGCTCTTGAAGAAACTTGAAAGTTGAAAGATCACAGTACAACATCTATGAGTTTTTTTCACAACATAAAAATTTTAAAATGTAAAAATTATGTACTTTAGCAATTTGTTTTAGATTTTATTTTAATTTTCAGTTAAAACTATAATATCTTGATATGACATGAACACAGGTATATATTAAATTTAGAGGAACCAAAACAGAATAAATCCACTGGATGCCAAAATTTAAGGAAAAGAGTTAGAGATATTTCTTTTATCTATATCTATCAGCCCAGAAAATATTTGCACTTCTTTTAAGACTCAACCTGCATAGATTTAGCTACTGTTTTGGCATTTCAATTTGAGAATTGTAGTATGCAATGTTAATAAGTTACTATAATAAATCCTGTATTACTGAAAAAAATGGCGTCCAGTTGGCTTGAAAATGACTATTGATGATCCTATATATTTTCCATATAATATTACAAAATATAATCTATATTAATATATAAAATCCTTTGACTGACATACTGATTAATCACGATCCTGCTCAAACCACTCAACGTAAGAAACTAAATTGTGTCATACAGGTTGATTCTAGGGTGTAGAGGTTCGATAAGAAGGGATTTTTCGAAATTCCAGTTCTAAGAGGGTGAAACCACCCCTCAAATATTACAATATTTTTTGTTTAAAAAACGGTCAAGTTTTCGAAAAAACGCGTACACGTACATTTTATTTTGTTTTTTTACAAATTTTAAGATTTTTTAAAAATATATACACGGTGTTCCGAGAAATCTGGTCATTGATTAATCACGATCCTGCTTAAGGCGCTTGACGTAAAAAGCTGTTTTGTGGAAAACAGATTGACTTTAGGGTGTAGAGGTTCGATAAGAAGGGATTTTTCGAAACTCGAATACTAAGGTGGTGAAACTATCCCTAAAATATTAAAATATTTTTTATTTAGAAACCGGTGAGTTTTTCGGAAAAACTCTTTTACAAAAAGTTTTTCGGAAAAAAATCTTTTACAAATTTTAAGATTTTTTATAAATTTATACAGGGTGTTTCATAAAATATGACCACTGAGTAATCACGATTCTGCTTAAACTGCTTGACGTTTAAAGCTGATTTTTGACAAACGGATTGACTGTGGGGTGTAGAGGTTCGATAAGGAGGAGTTTCTCGAATTTCAAATACCAAGAGGGTGAAAACGCCCCTCAAATATTACAATATCTGTTATTAAAAAACGGTTAGTGTTTCGGGAAAATGCTTGGACCAGCATAATTTATTTGGATTTTTTACATATTTTGAAATTTTTTAAAAAATCATACAGGGTGTTCCAAAAAGTTGGGTATTTCTTAACCACGATTCTGCTTAAACTGCTTGACGTAAAAAGCTTATTTTTGGCCAACGGATTTTTCGAAAGTCAAATTCCAACGAGATGAAACTACCCCTCAAATATTATCAAGTTATATAATAATATCGCCATATTGTTTTTTCTCATGCTGACATAAATAATCAATAATAACTAATGACTCTCTAATCGATTTCCAAATTTTTTTTTCTCAAATTTAAACTACACTATTTAAAAATAATTTTTACTGAAATAAAAATAAATTACAACCTTATTAAGGCCCACTGGCAGTAAGCGCAATTAAGTTCAATTTGCTCTTTTAACCAAGGTATTTACTTAATTACGCTAATCTTATCGCGTACACAACCACTATTTATTTGCCTTTTCACTAACACATATTAACTAGTTCCAAGGGTTTGATCTGTTTAAGCCTTCTGATGTGAGTTGTGTGAGGTTAGGTAGCTGGATGTACCTGAATGGCCTCAACGTTGACGTGGTGGTGAAGTCGTTATTCGTGTCTCTTGGCGAATGAGGTAATAGTTTGGGTAACTGTGTCCACTTCCAAGTCCCTGTGGAGGTCACGGTTTCGGAAATACCCAAGGGGTGTTGACAATTCTCCTTAGTACTTGTTTTGGAATGGCTGAATAATTTCTTGATCGCTTTTACTAGCACAACCCCACAATTGTATGCCATATGTCCGTAAATATGTATGTAAATTAATACAGGTTTGAGAACCTGTTGGTAAAGTAGTAATTTATTATGTATTGATAACGTTGAATTTCGTCCAAGAAGCATTTTTTTAAATTTGATTTTTAGTTCTTCGTTTTTCTTTTTAATGTGGCTTTTCTAACGCAGCTGAACCGAAAAATAATGTTTTAAAAAATTTACTCAGGAAATTATTGGACAGAGACTGTATAATAAGTGAAATACTAAAGTTCATAATAAACTGAGTTTACGAATTTAAGTTGATATATTTATATACAATTTGTTAAAGAAATCAAGAAAATTGGGCTAAAAATAAAAAAAATGTAACATTTTAATCCTAACCATAAATTTTTCTTTATTACATTTGAGTGTACTTTCATCAAATAAAAATACTTAAACTGGTATGCAAAATTTCTTTATTAAAAAAAATTGTAAATTAAATTTAAATTATTATTTATATAAATAAGGTACAAAAATTTACAAAACGGTACAAAAAATTATGACAATATACATATTATTTCACTCGCATATGTTATACCAGTAAGTAGTTTACCAGTAATGCCCATGACCATATCCATGACCGTATCCTAAAGAGTAATATGGGTAATATCCGTGTCCGTATCCGTGTCCGTATCCATGACCGCCATATCCGTGATATCCTTCGTAAAAAAACAAAAATTAATACTCAAATTTTTTTTCTTAAAACTACTGGAAAATACCTTAGTTACTACTTCATTTCATAGCCATCGCTGACGGCGTTTTTTGTCGATCATATTATACGGGGTGTGCCAGAAATAAGTGCAAGTACTTTAACTGGTAGTATAGTTCAACCCCTGAAACAGGCCTATGAGGTTCTTTTCGCGAAAAAAAATTGCAAATTCCCAATTTTTTGAAATTTTTTTTAGAAATTTTTTTTTAGAAATTTTTAATTAAAAAACATAATTTCTTGGTAGTTCCAAGAAAATCCAGAAAAGTACCAGTGATTCTCAAAATTTTAGCAAAAACTATTTTTTTTTGAAATTTTTAAAGTAAAATAACAAATAACTCTGTTATTTTGGACTTATTTGAAAAACGATAAAGAGAAAATGTGTTTCTTTTATCAAGATCTTACCACCCCTTAAAATACCTGCACTTACTTCTGGGACACCCCCTCTCGATAAAAGAAACACATTTTCTCTTATACCTCTGTTGCCATATTATCAAGAAATTATGTTTTTTAACTAAAAACTAAAAAAAAATCCAAAAAGAAATTTTTTTTGCCAAAAAAAAATTGCCACCCTGTATAACATGCATCATACTTCAACAAAACCCGCCTTATCAGAATTATTTTTGTGTTTTTCCTGTTGTGAAAAATTAAATATTAATTTTTATTTCTAGAAAAGCGAGATACAAAACAATGATTCCACTCAATGGGCATTTGTAAATTAACGCTTCAAAAATTTGCTAAAACAGTTTTTTGCGTATTATCTCGAAACAACGTTTGTGAGATAAGATGGGTTTGGTTTGGTGGGATATTTTTAAAAAGAGTAAGAAGGGCCAGCAACCGGCTAACGTATACACAACGTTTAGTTAAATTCTCACCAACGTGTGGACGAGGTTTCAACAAAAGTTTCGCCTGTTGTCCGTTTTACCCAGTCGTACAATTTTTTTTTTATTTTCACAGTTGGCATCCCTACTTTAATTTAAAGTAATAAGGTAATAATAAGATAAATATTTACCATATGATTTGTAGATTGGATAAACGGAATAACTGTAATGTGGGTAATGATATCCATAACCATATCCGCCATAGATTCCTCTTTTAGCTGTTTTCTTTGGAGCCACGGCCGATTCAGCATCAGCGTCGTCGATTTCCTTCTCAATCTGCTCAGCTTCAACATCAACCTCTGCAGGAGCCGACATAACGTAAGCCATTGAGATCAGGAGGAGCAATACAGCAAACTATAAGGGAACATCAATTTGCTTTTAGTTATTATGAAATAATAAGGATTGTCCGAATTGTATTCGGAAAACTTCGGCAGCATATTTTAATAGAAATAAGTAAAAATATTCGTATAAATGTATCTCCTAAAGTGCTTCGTGTTAGTACCCTACACCCTGTATCTACAGGGTGTAAAATGGAGCGGAGCTGTTGTTACACCTGAATAGCATTAAGACGCCGATTTCTTAACATTGTTGACACAATAAAGCGGTCATCACGATCCGTGGTATATCTCTTTCTACCAGTTCCAGGTCGACTACGAAAGGATCGAGTCTCCTCATATCTCACACACACTCTTTCGCATCTTTGTACCTCTACTTATAATCGAGAAACTCTATACAGGGTGTCCCAGAAATAAGTGCAAGTATTTTAACTGATAGTATAGTTCAACCCCAGAAACACGCCTAAGAGCTATTTTCGCGAAAAAACATTTTTGAAAATTCGGAATTTTTGGAAATTTTTTTAGTTTGTATTTAAAAAAAATAATTTCTTGATAATATGGCAACATAGGTAGTAAAGTAAATTTACAAGAAAGAAAATCCAGAAAAGATCCAGTGGTTCTCAAAATTTTAGCAAAAAATCATTTTTTTTTGGAAATTTTCAAAGTAAAATAACTCCGTTAATTTGGACTTATTTGAAAAAGGATAAAGAGAAAACATGTTTCTTTTATCGAGATCTACCACCCCTTAAAATACTTGCACTTATTTCTGGGACACCCTGTATATCTAAAATTAACAGATTTTGTAATATTTCAATTTGTTTCAACAAATATTAGATTTCAGTGTGGTAAAAAATGTCAATGATGCCATTGTTTCTGAAGTTGAACAACTAAAATTTGGAAGGAGAAATTTATAAAATTGAAGGAAAAGGTATATGTAAAGATATTTTAGTTAGATGCTATAGGGTGTTCAAAATATAATTATGAATTTCAACTACTCACAATTCAAAAATGTCACTAAAATGAATTAAACTAAAATTCAATAATAATTCAAAATAAAATTCAAAATTTTGATAATTATTAATTTTTTGTCATTGGCAACTATGTTATAGCGTAATTGTATTAAAAATATGGGTAAAAATAGAAAAAATTGGAATAAATCGCAACTATTAAAAATACGCATATGACATAGTTAATAAAAGTTGAATAGTTTTGTAAAATCTGAATCAGAAAAAATGACAATATATAGGCTGGGCCATTTAAAAAATTTGAGATTTTTTAAATTTAAGTAGTTGAACTTCATAAATATATTTTGAACACCCTCTGTAGCATCTAACTAAAATATCTTCACATATATCTTATTTTTTTCATCTCTATAAAATTCTCCTACGAAATATTAGTTGTCCAACTTCAGAAACAATGGCATTACTGACAATTTTTTTACCACACTGAAATCCAACATTTGTTTAAACAAATTTAAATATTACAAAATATATTAATCTTGACAAATAATATTATATATAATAAAAAATCGGTAAAAAAACTTTTAAGTTAAACGGTTTTATCTTATGTGCACTGAAAACTAGAAAATAATAATAACAATTAGGTATTTTGAACTTCTAGTTCAAAAATATTTTAGTACTAGGCAGAATAGCTTTTAGGCATATTAGACTAAAATAAAAACGTGGGGCCCCTCTGAAATCCTACCTATGGCAAAGCATATCTTTATACTTTGGTAGATCATGAGCTCGGCGTTCGCTGGTGAAGCCGCCACGGCTGGTTATTGATTGTCAAAATCTCCAGTTACGATTATAGTAAGTCGATGCAATCCACACTTAGTATAGAAGAAAGTATAACAGGAATAGTTAATGTGCCCCACGTTTTTATTTTAGTCTAATATGCCTAAAAGCTATTCTGCCTAGTACTAAAATATTTCTGAACTAGAAGTTCAAAATACCTAATTGTTATTATTATTTTCTAGTTTTCAGTGCACATAAGATAAAACCGTTTAACTTAAAAGTTTTTTTACCGATTTTTTATTTTTGTTTGTTTTTTTATTTATTGTTTCCAAGTTGTTCCCACGAGTAATGGACATTTTAACGGTCGACCCCCCCCCAGAGGTCCAGTAGAGGGGCAAGGCTATAATATACAACAAGAGGCGCCCAATCTTGGGGGGAAAACGCTTGCGACATTACATTTTAGCCACCCTAATGCAATACAGTCCTCAGCACGTTTTAACCTATTACCTTAACTTGGGTGGTAAAGCTACCGCTAACTACGTAGGTACATCAAATCACCTATTTTTTTTTATCTGTCCTTCTAACGTCACACAATCTTGGACACAACTGTTCTGGACACGACTACTCATGCCCTCACCTAATACGCCATTTTGTAACGACGTCCATCTTGGATTTTAAATTTTGTCATAATCACAGTATTCTACTAATGTACCTACCCATATTGAGGGGGTTGTGGAAAAATATGAAATCCGCCATTTTGTACCTGTGGCCATCTTAGATTTACAATGTTATTGATATTACTATATTGTATTGTCATCGGAACTAAAGGTGTGTACCAAATTTCAGATCAATCTGACAACAGGAAGGTAGTTAAATTTCAATTTCTAATTTTGATCCAAATAAACAAACAAATAAATAAATACCGTACGGGTCGAGCTAAATAAAACTGTTTAAAAAGGTTATAGAATTTTACCCAGAATCTAAAAATAAAAAATAGGGTGTTGCATTTAAAAAAAAATCCGCCACACTTTTTTTAAGCATCCTGTATACTCTATAATCATTTTAAAATGTCTAAAAAAATCTTAACCTTCCCTATAACTTTTATATTTAACATTTTTTTGTAAATCTCGAAACAAATGTATCGTTGACTCACCCTGTACAGAGAATATCAGGATACCCTGTTTAGTGCTGTAAATTCTGGTATTATAGACTGTCGAATTGTTGGAGAAATTAATCATATAACTCTAACTATTAAACATTCAGTTATGATAAAATTAAAAAAAATATCCGCGTTGGATAAAAAAAAAATAAATTGCGTTCATTCGCTATTAACTCCAAAAAACCCCAAATACAATTTTTTGATTTTCTATTGCTCTATTGAAAACGAAGCCTCAAAAACACATTTTAAATTTTGAAATAAAATTGAGTTTGATTGTCTTATTGTACCGGATAAATATATTATGATAAAACACTCACCGAATATTTAGCCATTATGACGAAACACACAATAGAGCCAATAAATCGGCAAAACAGAATTTTTCAATCTCTTGTAAATGTTACAAATTTAACTGATAATCGCGAAAACGCGTCGTCACTATTTATACGAACCGCAATGGAGTACGTCCATCCCTGTGTCAAGGTCTGCGGTACGCCGTCTATGGTGGAGGGTCTTCGCATCGTTCAGAGGCGTTCGTGTAGGGTTAAGTAATCGCTAATACCACTTTCTGACAAACAGGTATATTATAGTTTAATAAATAATTGTTTTCGCCTATCCGTTATCTTTTTGAAATTTTGTTAAAAACGAAAAAATGTCGTTTTTGTTTGAAATTTTAAATAGACAGAATATGACATGAATGGATAGGCATGATGATAAACAGCAGAATATATTTTTGGACTGAATGAAAACTTTTTAAAACTTTTGTTGGAAATCCTTTTAATATTCATTTATAAACTATAATATCTTGATAGAGGATTAAATTACTAAATTTAGAAGAACGAAAACAAAGAAAAAATGCAGTGGTTCTTTAAAGGTAAGCAAAAAATCGTTTATTTCTAAATTCTTAAAGGAAATGACTCTTCTATTTTGGACTTTTTGAATAACGGCAAAGAGAAAATATGTATCTTTTATTAGAGATCTACTCGCCCTAAAAATATGTACATTTATTATAGACAAAACTCACCCTGTATAAATACCATGTTGCAAAATATCGTTTTAGTAGAGAAGAAAGAGCTTTCCTGCACATTTAACCAACCTCTATACCGGGTGGTTTTCAAAAGTAAATTAAAAAAAAATAATAAAAAATGTATTTTTAATAAATTGTATAACTGACTAATAAAGGAATGATACACAAGTTTTTGATACGATACATACATAGTCGGCTTGACCGATTTTGAAGAAATTTTATCTATATTCAGTAGGTCTGAGAATAGGTTGTTATCTATTTCTTATACCCCTAAATGATAAGGGTGGTCCAACCCAATTTTTTTTATTTTTTGGACAAAATTGTTTATTTTTATTTTTAAATTTTTACCCTTCAACCCCTATTTTTTAATAGCGATATTAGTAATTCAATAATTATAATTTGATAACCAATTGTTTTTACAAATTGTTAGAATACCTTAAATTAAAAACGTGGGTATGATTGTGTATATACCGGGTATAATGGTATTTACTTAGATGTCATTGGTGTTTACCCAAACTCAATATACTATTTATTGACCTTTTGGGTATATACGGGGTGAAAAAACTTGGGTATTTACTCAAATTTCAATATACCGGGTACTTGCCCATCACTGACCTTAAACACAGCAATAATTCTGAAATTGGTAAAGAGGTTAATATATATAATAGAGTAACAATTATTTTCAGATATTTTTTCTCTTGTTTATTTATTTTCCTACGATTTTTTCACAATATGAAAACAATATTATAAAAAATATAGAAATAAAAATAATAGAAATACAAATATATAAAAAATATGTTATGTGTTATCAAAAAAAAAGGCGATTATAATTTTCGACAATCGATTATAATTTTATCGAGTTCAATCTCTAAACATCATTTAATATTGACATAAAACTTAAAAGCCAAAAATTAACACTAACTATAGAAAGATTAAAAAGGATAGAACGTTTCCAGACTATCTGTCTCAGAAATCTGTTAGTAAAAAAAGTAGAAGAGTCTGGGCCAAGTAATAACGTCTAAAGCTTGACCTCGCCAAAATTGTTACCGATTGTCCTTACACAGCCGTCTTTGACGCTGTTTTTTTTCGATCGTATTGTATATATTTTAATGAGTAAAAACAAATGAGATACGAGGTACAGAACGAGGAATATTATATTTTTTATTGTAGAAAAAAGTAATTATGAAAATTCTTGCATAAGTATTGCATTAATATGTTATTACAAATTGTTTTTTCTTCATACATCACTTAAAGAAGTTCGAAGTGTTTACGTTGGTGTCACAAGAAAAAAATAGATATCTGGATTGCCGTGAAAATAATTATTGCAACTCATTACGCGAAGCTATTTAATATAGTAAAAGGAATTATATTATTGCGTATCTATAAAAAATTGCACACATAAAATGCCTACATTATTTTAGTTTCATGGGCATGTATTTCGATTTATTCAAAAAAGAAAAGTGATATAACGCGTTTAACTTAAAAATTTCAATATATTTTTTTCATCATTCTCTATTGCTTGCCACAATAACTTTTTTATTTTTTCAGATAAAAAACGACATTTTGTATGTTATTAACATGACATAAATCAGGAATGATTCATGTATTCACTGTTTATGTCACTTCATGTTTCACCCGTAAAGAACTAAAAGTTTTAATTTTAAATTATAACCCTCGGTATTTTTTTTTTACTTTATAGGATAGAAACTTATGTTCTGGGCAGAAAGATATGTTATAATACATTTTGTAGGGGCCAGTTAAACCTACTCTAATATTGAAAAATCCCAAAATTAAGAAATTAGCGCTTATTAAGTTTTTCCACTGGACCCTTCAAATTAAATACTCATTCGGTAATCAAACTGTGACGTTAAATGGTAACCCACAAGTAGTGTCACAACTATCTAAAACCGGGGAAATGCTCAGTTAACATAACAATAAAGACAAAGCAGATTTTATTGTAGTCAAATTTTTAAGCTGCGTGCACAAACTTACGATTTCTGTTTACACTTTACGATTTATTGGTGCAGTTTGGTTGCGCAAATTATCTGAAAATATAAATGGCCCTTAAAAGCCGCAACGATAAGAAAGAGCCAGGAATTAGGTACAGAGTGGATCAAATTGAACGCTTTTAAAAACATCCTTTTCTATAGGAGATAGACGAAAACTAATATCGGTGTCTGGAGCTCAATTTTCATCAAAAACATGATGGTGAAAACCGCACATCGATATCTGTTAATCTTATCCTGTCGGAGTTACGAGGTGTTTTTCAAAAATGTGAATTTTTAACAAATCGCTGTAACTTTTTTGCTATGGAAAATTTTGTATTTCTATAAAAACATTTCTAAAGCGCTTTTTACGTAGAATTTAATGGTCTAATGGGAATGGTTTTAATAATGGTTTAATGGGATTTTTTTTTTAAATTAATAATTTAAGAGTTATAACAAAAAAAAAGATTTTTTTATTTGGGACACCCTGTATATTTTCAATTAACTGAAAAGAACTTAAAATTACCTTTCCAAAAATATAGCACACTTAATATTTTGTTATAATCTCCTTCCAAATACAGAAATTTTAAAAGTTCGCCAATTTTAACTAGTATAGGCTTTGGATCCCTTATTCATGATATGCCCCTAATGGAACTCGAAAACATATTTTTCCGCGCCGCCTCAAAACGCAAGTTATCAGCAAATTTTTGCAGCCAATTCCAACAATAATTAAATAGCTAACCAAGATCCCAGCCATTGGCCGTCGAGGCCGCCGGATTTAGTGCCTATGGATCTAATCCTATAGACATCTTTTGTGAAAGAACGAAGGTTCTTATTTTTAAATTCACTTTATAATCTAGACAAGAATTAGAAATCCTACTGCAGTTAAGGCAGGCGGCCACTGCGAGCGAAACTAAACTAAGCGAAGATAAGATTTGTAAAAATCAGCTTCCATACTTTTTAATGCGTCAGCGGCTACTTGACCGAATCAAACGAAAATATATGAACGAAGATTCGAATGGTAGTTTAGTTTCGCTCGTTTTAGTTCGTGACAGGTTCCAGCGAATTTTTCGCAGCGATTAGTTCTATGATAGCAGAGATACAATACGAAAACTTAGCTGACTACTGAGCGAAAATCGTTCCCAGTGGAGTTCCCATTTAATTACCGTTTGTTTTCATATTCTTAGCTTTTAGTTACGCTCGCAGTGGCCGCTCGCCTTTATGAGAGGGTATCTTTCACCCCCAATGAGTTAATGAATTCCGCGAGAAATGTTCAAAAACGGCCCCGTCTGCCCATAACAGAAGACGGTCGATATGTCAAACACCTGTAGCAAAATCTCATGTCTTGGTTTGCTATTTATTTTTATTGTTATTAGATATAGTTTAAATGTGTTGATGTTGGTTAAATATAGTTTAAATTGTTATAAAATTCTGCATCTCTCATTGCAAATATTATTTTCGTTTTAACTGATGCTCAAAGCTAATTATTTTGCATTACAGCCGCGCCGTTCAAAGCCTACTTATTTCAAGTAGGCGAACTTTTATAAACTCTATATCTCGAAGAGGAGTCGAGCAAAATATCATGTGTGCTATATTTTTGGAAAGGTATTTTTAAATTGTTTTCAATAAATTAAAAATATATAGGGTGTCCCATATAAAAAATCAAAATTTTTGTTGATAATTCCTAAATTATTAATTTTTAAAAAATTATACTTAAATCATTAAATTCTACGTAAAAAGGTGCTTTGGATATGTTTTCATAAAAATACAAAATTGCCCATAGCAAAAAAGTTACAGCAATTTGTTAAAAATGCACATTTTTGAAAACACCCCTTTTTTAACTCCGTAACTCCGAAACGGTAACATATATCGATAGGCGGTTTTCACTATCATGTTTTTGACCAAAATTGAGCTCCAAACACCTATATTAATTTTCGTTTATCCCTTATTTTTTTAGAATGAATTTAGAATTTAGAATGAGTGGGAGGGGGGTTAATCACTTCGACCTTACAGATCCATTGTGTCGCCCTTTCTTGAATCATAACTCATCATACAGTCACAAGGCTTTGACAAAAGCCAGTATCTGGGACGGTTTTATAGAGGGTAGTTCTCCATCTCCAATATCAGTCGTACCAAAATTCATGGCACGAATGGTTGTCGTCTCGGCGCACTCAGTGATGAGGTGTACTGGTGTTTCACCATCTCCCCCACAGAATCTGCATTCGCCGTTTCTTCTTAGTTTCAATCTACTGAGGTGTTCATTGAGGAGACAGTGTCCTGTTAAAAACCCCGTGACAATCCGAAGATTGTTCTTACTCAGACCCAGGAAGATCTGTGATTTTTCTTGATCATAAGCCCTCAGAAACTTCTTCGAGTGTCTTAGACCGTTGCAAGATTTCCATTCCAGGTTGCGGATGGAATCTTCCAAG